AAAGAGGCGCTTTCGAAAGATACTTTCGAAAGAGCCTCTTTCGAAAGAGAGCGTCTAGACTGCACGCGGAACTTTCGAAAAAGTAAGCCGCTTTTTCGAAAGAAAGCACCCAGTGAGTCTGGATGCTCTCTTTCTAAAAAGCCTGTTTGCTTTCAAGAATGCCTTTTTTCAAAAGAGCACTTTTGAAAGAAGGCGTTCTTCCTCGTGGAATTAGGTTTACAGCCGTCGAAAGAAAAGCCGCATTCTTTCGATTTAATTTCGAAAGAACGCAGCTGCAGTCTAGACGCAGGTGAAGTTTTTTCGAAAAAAGGCTACTTTTTTCGAAAAAACCCCTGAGTCTGGACACAGCCTTGGGGACTAAATAACTGGAGAGGAACTATTGAAAGAACCTGGGAGGAGGGGCTCAGGGATGGGGCTGAGCCTGGCACTTGTGTCAGGTGTATTGAGAGGCCTCGGTTGCCTGAGAGGTTCCACCACCTCTTGTGCGCAGCCCTTGGCAGTTGTAGGAGGGGCTAAGGAGAGAAACTGGAGGAATGGAGGCAGGAGAGGGTGCAGGAGGGACTTGTGAAGGAGCAGGCGCATGGGGAACTTGGGAAGCAGAGGGTGCTGGGGGGATTTGGGAAGGAGAGAGTGCTGGGGGGCAGCTGCTGGACCGCTCAGTGGTGGCAACCAGGTGGTCAACGGTGGCGGTATATGCTGCATATATGCTCTTGTGCTGCTGAGACAGCTGCTGCCAGATGGTGTACCATAGTTCCTGGTCAGCATGGCTCTTCTCCAAGTCTGCATCCTGCTCTTGCTGCTCCAGCTTGAGACACTGCTGAAAGGCAGGCATGCTTTGAACAAAGTCATCTGTGGCATAGACAGTGGGCAATATTCTGCAGGGGCATGGACGCCGCAGCGGAGCTTGGCAACCCGCATGTCCTGAGGACAAACAGGCATGGAAAGGTGCCGGCCAGGCCAGGAACCTGCAGGGGACAGGGCAGCTTGCCTTCCCTCGACGCTGCACACACACCAGGTTTGGCACTGGTGATGTCCCGCAGAGAGAGGACTTCTATCTCTGCCTGCTAGAGGAGAGCAGGGGAGGGTGTTGGGGGAAGTATGTGTGAGCGGCAGATGCTGCTTGCTGGGGAGGGTAGTACTGGGGTACTACCCAACCACTTCCTTCCTTTCAGCAGGTTCCCCTGCAGGGGCTCTGTGTCCTCTGCCTTGCTGATCTTGAACAGGGAGCAGATGCTGCTCCAAGAATGTGGGCAGAAACCTATGCCCGTGCGGCACTTCTGTGTGTGTCCAAGACTCCAGCCTCCTTAGTGGTGGCTTAAGATGGGAAGGTGTCCCCCGTCACGGTGTACGGAGTCAGGGAGGCCTGTGCAGAAACCTTGTGAGAAGGAGTGTCAGGTTCTTGTGTAGCAGTGTCATGAGACTGTCTGCTCCGGACTGGCGCTCCATGTGCACCCACGTGCACAGGCTGTTGTGCGAACCCCAGGCTGAGAAGTCTGAGCAAGGAGCAGGCAGCCCCTTGTTGCCCACCGCTTCCCCCTGCATGTAGATAGGGAAAAGTAGAGGATTTATCTGATGTGCCTTCCCTGGCCTTGTCCGAACCCTGGGAGACATCCTGAGAGAGGAGTACCAGCTTCAAGGAGATGATGACCTCCTGGCTGGTGGGCATTGTGTCCTGGATGGCCTCTTCCTCCTCCTCCTCATCTTCCTCCTTTACAGTTCCACCATACTGGAGGCTGATGACGGGCGTCACAAGGCTGGAGTCGATGATAGGGGGTGGGTGGAAGGGACTGGTCCTCCCTCCGAAGATGTGATCCAGCTGCTCATAGAAGTGGGAGGTCTGGAGTGCCATTCTAAATCAGGAACTTTTTACCCTGACCCTGGAGTAGGCCTGCCTCAGTTCTTTTCTTTTCATGCACACCTGCTCCTGAGTGCACATGTGGCCCTTCTTGTCCAGGCTTGCAACCATCTGGCCATGCACCTCAGCATTCCTGTGCCTGGTGCGGAAATCCTGGAGGTTAGCCTCCTCCCCTTGATGAGATCCTGGTTCTCCGCACCAGTCCAAGAAGTGGCCCTCTTCTGCCTCTGGCCAGGGTCTTCAGAAGTGGCTGCCGGCATGCTTATAGCTGGGAGTGGCTCTGTGGGAGCACTGGAGTCACTCGTAGCAGGGAAGAGCAGTGCAGGATCCTGCTGTGTGACACGGTGTGAGCAGGGCCTGTGTTGTGCCGAAGAACTTTCCCTTCTTCCTGTACTTTTAAAGGCTGCAGAGGAAGGGAAACTATAGAGTTTTGAGGAGTGGGGACAGAGTGGCCACGAGGGCAGCTGTGAGAATCCCTGGAGGCCAATTATTTCAAAATAAGCATAGCTGCACTGTCCACACTCACACTATTTCGAAATAGCAATTTCAAAATAGGCGTTATTTCTCATGAAACAAGGGTTTACTATTTTAAAATAATAAGCCTGTTATTTTGAAATAATTTCTAAATAACGGGCTTGCTGTGTGGATGTTCACCTTGTTATTTCAAAATAACGCTGTAATGTAGACATGCCCTACGGTGGAGGCTGAGGATGTGGCATCCCAACTTTAAAGGGATCTTTGGTCCCATCGTGGGACTGTACCTCCATTCTGCAACACTGACTCCTTACCAGAAACCAGCATATCTCCTTCAGAAGCTTTGCTATACTATCTTTGGCAGAGTCGCCTCTCCAGTTACATAGTAGCTGCCATATATGTCACTGAGAGGAGACAGTACTGTCTCAAAAGCATTCATGCCAGCTTAGTTTTTTAACTGGAAATCATCAGGAAATGATGCTGTGGAAAATGACAGAGTTTCCTCCTGTCCAGTGTTGTGAGATGGTGACGTCGGGAAGCTCCAAAAGAAGTGATTCCACTAAGTCCCATGAAACAAGGGTACTATTCCATTGAAACTGCATTTACGATCTACCACACATGATGTAATGCATAAACCAGGTTTCATTCTCTTTGTGATGCAGAGATCAGTTCACTTTTCTATTAGGTATAGATCAGCAGTTCTCAAACTGTGGGTTGGGACTCCAAAGTGGGTTGTGATCCTGTTTTAATGGGGCCACCAGGACTGTCTCAGACTTGCTAGAGACCGGGGCTGAAGCCCAAATTCACCACCTGTGACTGTAGGTAAAGCCCAAGGTCTTCAGCACTGTGTGGCAGGGCTCAGGTTACAGGTCCTCTACCTTGGGATGAAGCCCTTGGGCTTCAGCTTTGTCACTCCCCCTGGCCTGGGGCAGTGAGGTTTGGACTTTGGTCCCCGCATCCAGCGCAGTGGGGCTCGGATGGACTTGGGTTTTGGTGCCCCCTCTTGAGGTCATGTAGTAATTTTTGTTCTCAGACGGGGGTCACGGTGCAATGAAGTTTGAGACGGAGATCAAAATAATTACAGGTTGAATCTCTCTAGTCTGGCACTCTCTGGTCTAGCAATAGCCATCATCTGGCATGATTTTAGTTAGCTGGCTGTCCGCTTATCATGGATGGGGCCATGTTTCCCACGTTCCCATTTTTGTTTAGAGCCACCAGTCCTAGCTCTCAGTGTTCTGTGCTATTATTTAGCTCTAATTTATCCTTAAATGTCTTCTAAGAACCCAGTAAGCAGTGGAAGTGTTGGTAATGCTGTTAGACAATACTGACCTCCTCTGGTTTGGCAAATTCTCTGGTTCAGTACTGGTTAGATCCCAAGAGTTCCAGACTAAAGAGGTTCAACCTGTATTAAATTAGTAAGTGTAGTTGGTGTTTAAACTTTCTGAAAACTAATGAGATGTTACATGCATTGTTTTCCCTTCTGTATCCTGCTATAATGTAATAGCAAACACTCACACTGTATATTCTCCTGTAAATAAATAACCCATCAAGCAAGAAAGCAGCTTGTGAAATACAAATGAAGAACTTTACTAGAGAAGTACTGACTTCAAAGCAAGTGGTTATTGTGTAATGGTCACAGGTCAAAGACTCTAGATGCATTCCTCACTCTCTGTCATGAAAGGAAAAACCTTTGTGGGTATTGACCATGTCAGCTTGTTTTTATGAGAAGAAGCTATAAGAATGGATTTGAGGAAAGATCCTGGATCTCTGGACTCTTTGAATTCTTACAGGGTGTGTACCAGGTGCAAAGTAGAGATCCCCAGAAACAAGCTGAGTACTCTGAAAATTTTTTGGGAAACTTGGCAGTTTATTATATCATGGCCACCTTTTAGAATTACAAACTATGACTCACCTATACATATATTTTACCTGCTTTAACCTCTCAATCACTTTCACGTCCCTTTCTTAGCTAATAAATCTTTGGTTAGTTTACTGTAGATGTGACTACCAACATTGTCTTCGGTGTAGGATCTAGAGACCTGGGGTAAATGACTAGTCTCTTGGAACTGGAGGCAACCTGATATGGTGTAATTTTTGGTTTAAGTGACCATTTATCAAAATGTTCAGCTTGTCTGAGTGACAATATAGGCTGGAGAGTCGGAGGGGGACCATCAATGACTCCATGGTAAAACTGTTACTGTGATCCAGGAGTTTACATTCGTTACAAGCTAGGTGAAATCTAATTACAGAATACACCACGATTTTGAGGTATCTGCCCTGTTTTCTGACAGTCTGTCCTGAAGTAGGCACTCTCATTTGTGAGCCACTTCTGACAGTATGACTTTCTCCACATGTGATGGTAGAGGAGATGACATGGTCCACAATTTTAATTTGTAAGTATAATTTTATTATACTCAAATATTAAGAATCAGGAATTTTGTAGCATATAAAAACAGATATCTAAAGCAAGAAATATTTGTTTAAAAATCAAAATAAAATAAATAAATGATCAACAGAAACTTCAAACACTGCCTGTGCACATGCATATTATAATTTTGTTTATGTTATTATGCATAAACTACTTTTGCCAAGGACTACCTACTTTGCTGTGCTATTAATATCACTGCAACTTGTGATGCAAGAACTCCCACCCATTTCTGAGAACAGTGAAGGCAGTTTATCTGTGAGTTCACAGGCTGCTAGCTGCCTTTATAAAAAGTTCTTCCAATTTTTCATACTTCCTCACTGAGCTAGTTTCACTGCAGAGATGAAGAAGCTCATTTACTTAGTCTTGTTTAAGACAGCTCTGATTGCTTTTACAAATGTCTCTGCACTTGCAAATGAAGATACAGAAAATGTTAGAGAAGGAAACGCCATTGGTGCTTGTCCCATAAAGTTCAAAACCAGTGGGAAATGTGAAGGAGAGGAATGTCCATATCAGATAAATCTGCCTTCGATGACCATCCAGTTACCTAAGCAGTTCAGACTGATTGAAAAGACTCTCAAAGAAGTACAGAAACTTAAAGATGAAGTAAACAACTTGAAGAAATCTTGCCAAGATTGCAAGCTGCAGGCAGATGACAACAATGAAAAAGATGGTACAGAAGTCTCAACAGAGTACAGTAAGATACAAGATAACAGAATAAAGGAATTACAGAGCAAAGTTAAGAAACTGTCAGCCAGTTTGAAGAATGCAGAGAATCAGATCCACTTAGTAGAGGGTAATCTGGAAAAAAGGAACCTTATAAACATGGACAATGTAGAAAGCTATGTCAACGGCAAAATTGAAAATATGACAATTTTCTTCAACAGTAGGAATGTCATATGTTCTTCTGAGTGTCCAGTCATAGAATCAAGACCTGGTATGTGAAGCTTTATTTATAAGTTTTTTGTATTCTGTAGAAATATTTAATAGAATAATTTAAACATACTTCACAATTTAAACAAATACCTTTTTCACAAATTACAAAGTATTATAAAAGTTACTCTTACTGTAGGATTTGCTGGGAGATACTAAGTGCTTTCAACTTCCATTGGAGTTGCAGGTGCTCAGTACCTCTCAGGATTTGCTCTAACAGTACTTAAAATATAGCTCTCCAAAAAGGACATTTACTTTAAGATTTGTTGAGCAGATATACGCATGGTATTTACTTATATTTGTATAGCAGTGTCATAGCAATTCAGGTTGAAATGAAAGTCCTTTATATATTTAAATTGTATTTTACTCTGTATTCAAACAGAAAATATCCACTTTAATTCTGCATTATACTGAAAACTGAACAATTATTTTTGGCTCAAATGTCTTTTCACATTTTTGAGGGTTGTTGAGCAGATATACGCATGGTATTTACTTATATTTGTATAGCAGTGTCATAGCAATTCAGGTTGAAATGAAAGTCCTTTATATATTTAAATTGTATTTTACTCTGTATTCAAACAGAAAATATCCACTTTAATTCTGCATTATACTGAAAACTGAACAATTATTTTTGGCTCAAATGTCTTTTCACATTTTTGAGGGATTAATCTGGTTCTAAAATATTTCAATAATTTTACTATTTGCTATTTGACTGTGATAATGAAAGATCAAAGAGAAACATCTCCAAACATCCTGGAATTGTATTAAAATAGCCTGGGAAGTATTAGCTAACAACAAAGGAATCTAGTGGAAGATGTAAGTTACACAGATGGATAAGAAAATCATTATCTACCAAAGCTACATGTACATGTAAGGCTTGGCTAAAAATGTAATCAACATTAACATTTCTAAAATGAAAGGCACCCATAGCATTATTTTAGCAATAGTGGAATATTAGTAAGAATCTAATATATAAACAATGTAAAATGAGACATTAATGTGGGAGCTTGGGGATTTATTTCCTTTTAAATACCATGCTGTTCCAGACTCGTTTTTTTTACCTTTTAAAAATTCTGTTATGAAATTAAAAGGTTTGGAAATTAAAATTGAAATTAAAATTAAATTAAAAATGGACTTGATAGACTGTATCATATGAACTTTTAATTTTGGTAAATTAATAGGAATAACATTTTAATGTTTGCATTGTCTGTATATAATTAAAGTTTTGATATTGCATATCTTTACAAGAAATAGGCAATCATAAAAGTTTGACAGTGTCGTCTGCCATCCAAATACCATATATAAAAAGAAAAGTTTTCTAGTGGTAAAAACAATAATAATTTACTGTATTAATTTTTGAGCCAGCAAATTTCTTGACAATCCTCCTTGACAAACATAAGTTAAAAACATACAATGTATAAAATTAGACACAGGTATTTTCTCTACCAGATATCTTATTTGCGGGACCTGCCATGCTTCAGTCCCATCTACAATATTAGCCTATTTAAAGAATATCAAAGGGTATGTCTACACTGCAAAGTTAATTCGAAATAACAACCGTTATTTTGAATTAACTTTAATAGCATCTATACATGCAAATCACTATTTCAAAATTAATTCAAAATAGCGGCACGCTTAATTCGAATTTGGTAAATCTCATTCTACGAGGAGTAACGGAAAATTCGAAATAGCTATTTCGAATTAAGTGCTGTGTAGACACTTAATTTGAAATAGGGGGCCTCCCGCCCATCCCAAGGAGCACTGGTGGCCACTCTGGGCACAACTAGGAAAACTTACTCTCCTCTCCCCCAGCCCCGGAGACATTAAAGGAATAGACTCTGGCCACAGTGCCTGTGCCAGCTCCAAACCTGCCAGCCCAGAGCCAGCAGTGGTCACCGGACCAGCAAGTCACTGGCAGGCAGCCCCC